AATTTCTCTAGTTATGACAGTGTGTCATTTACATTTTTGCTGACACTCGTATACGGTCATAGGGGAAACATCAAGAGTCTTTTACTCTTGAGGTTGCAATGCTGTTACTCCATATTTTTATAGCTAACTCTTTTTTTTGTAATGCAACTTCACATTCAATATATTTAAAAATAAGCTAGACGTATCTTTTTTCAATTGTTTATTGTGCTGCTAAAGAAGGCTGTGTGCTTCCACAGGCTGCAAATGGTGGTGGTCAGGAACAAGTAAATCTCTCTCCTTTTATGTTTTAAACTTACTGACAATTGGAAGGTCAAAAATTGATGTGATGGATTGTTTTCAGGTTCTCATTCGAAAGATAATCGAGCTGCATGATAAGTACATGACTTATGTGACTGATTGCTTTCAAAACCACACGTTGTTCCACAAGGTTGGTGGTAGACAGCATATTCTGGCTTAAGTTTTTTTATCATTTTGTTTAACAGGCTTGTTCTCTTTTTTGGGTTGTTGAGTAGGCCATGAAAGAGGCTTTCGAGATCTTTTGCAATAAAACAGTTGCTGGGAGCTCAAGTGCTGAACTGCTGGCAACCTTTTGTGATGCTATCCTCCGAAAGGGTGGAAGTGAGAAACTAAGTGATGAAGCCATTGAAGAAACACTGGAGAAGGTGGCCCTTGCAAAGGATTTGTCATCTTAATTTGTGTATCTTTATATGTAGTCTGATAAATTTTTAAGAACTGCGTACTGAGACCTATTACTGATTAGGAATTTGAACCTTGGTGGATTTCTGTAGGTGGTTAAGCTGCTTGCATATATTAGTGACAAGGACCTTTTTGCTGAATTTTATAGGTAAAACTGATCTCCGGCATGTCTTTCATTTTGTCTGTTTGTTATTTGTACCTTTTCTCTGTATTCTCTAGTATACTTGATTTAAGTTCTTTGTTTGTTTTTTTGTTTTTTTGCAGGAAAAAGCTTGCCCGTCGTCTTCTTTTTGATCGGAGTGCTAACGATGAACATGAAAGGAGTATTCTCTCAAAATTGAAGCAGCAATGTGGTGGTCAATTCACCTCAAAGATGGAAGGAATGGTGAGCTGGCTGGGGTACTCCGATAATGTTTGTAATGTGTCCATGCAAGTGTGGCTATAAATTGTCCTTTGTTCCTTCTAGGTCACAGATTTGCAACTGGCAAAGGAACACCAGTCCAGCTTTGATGAGTTTCTTGGCAATAACCCAGCCACACGTCCTGGAATTGATTTGCAAGTTAATGTTCTCACAACCGGGTACTGGCCAAGTTATAAATCCTCTGATATCAATCTGCCGGCAGAAATGGTGAACATTTACTTTTATATATCATAGATGGTAGGATTTTTTTGTATTTGTGATGTAATGGTAATCTGGCTGTAAATGTAGAAAGGAATTTTCTTTACCTTCTTCTTCAAAATGAACATTATGGAACCTTTTGTTTCAGGCTAGGGGAGTGGAAGTTTTCAGAGAGTTCTATGACAACAAGAGCAAGCACAGAAAACTTACATGGATTTACTCATTGGGATCTTGCCACATTAATGCCAAGTTTGACCAAAAACCTATTGAGCTCGTTGTGACAACTTACCAGGTACTGTATTGAACCTTTTATCCTTTGGAAGGTAGTGGAGGGATGATTTGCTTATCATTCCATTATTATTGGATGGGGATGTTTGATCCTGATAATTTGATTCCCGTCTATCTTCTACAGGCTTGTCTCCTGATGCTTTTTAATACCTCAGACAAACTTAGTTACTCAGAGATTATGACTCAGTCAAACTTGAGCGATGATGACTTACCTAGATTGCTTCATTCGCTGTCATGTGGCAAGTATAAGATCCTGATCAAGGAGCCAAACACAAAGACTGTTACTCAAAATGATTCCTTTGAGTTCAATCACAAGTTCAATGATAGAATGAGGAGGATCAAGGTTAACACTCCCTACTGTCAAAATTATATTTTAATGTTTTGCAGTTAACTGCCTGCAAAGTAGGTCACAGACCATTGCCTTCTCACATTTGGGGTGTCATTGCTTTACTCAAGATATTAATTACTTGAAATTATGTAACTTAGGTTCCGCTTCCACTTGTTGATGAAAGAAAGAAGGTTGTTGAAGATGTTGACAAAGACAGACGGTATGCGATTGATGCTGCAATTGTTCGCATCATGAAGAGTCGGAAAGTGTTGGGTCATCAACAGCTAGTCATGGAGTGTGTTGAGCAATTGACTCGCATGTTCAAGGTATGGCATACACTTCCCCTCTAATTTTTTTACACAAATGAGGAATTGGCAAATATTTAGGGATCTGGGGCTGTAGTTAATTTTATGAGACCTGTAACAAGATTAGAAAGTGCTATGGCCCTGTTTGTCCAGTTGGGGAAGGCTTTCAAGAAAATCTCACTTTCTGGTTCTTACATAGAGTGGATGCTCTTAAGAATTTATACGTACCCTGACTTTTGCAAGCATGAGTTTTCTACTCTGCTATGGTACTTCTTTCCGAATATGCATGTTTTACCCTTTATGGAAAGTCCATGTAAATCCTCACCGAGTGAGAATTATGTTGCATAGTTGCTGTCGATAAAAAGAGCAGCCAAAGGTATTGATTGAGTTACCTTATTTTTGGAAGATGTTTTCTTTTCTTTTTCTTTTTTTGTTATATCCTCGTGTGATAATGATGGATGGAAATTTGCAGCCTGACATTAAAGCTATCAAGAAGAGGATAGAAGATCTGATCTCCCGAGACTATTTAGAAAGAGACAAGGAAAACGCAAACATTTTTAGGTACTTGGCCTGATTTTTGCTTAAATGGGGCAGAAAGGGAGTATACAAATACAGTTATTTCAGATTAATTGCTGTAAATGGGGTAGTTGCAGTGCCTTTAGTGTTTACAAGAAGGAGAAAACATGGTCAGAATTTTTGTACATTTCCCCCTCAATACAGTTTTGTGCAGTGGTCCCATCTAACCACAGTTACTGAAGATTAATGGTAGTAATCAACAATCTACTGGCACAAGCTTGTTTGATGCCATATGCTATTTTGCATTTGCTATTATCTCGGTTGAAGTGTGATAATGCCTTGTGTTGCTTTGTTTCATGGTGACACTAAAAATGTAAATCACATCTTACGGGGAGTATGCTTTAGAAAAGCCTGTTATGATATGATTGGAACTGCATTGTGGTCTTTACAAGGTAAGCAGCAACAACATAAATAATGCATTTATTTTTTCATTGCGCAAAGAGGATTATTACGGTTCTCCGGTTTGTGCAAAATGACAATGCTGTTCAAAGGATTTAGATCCCCTATTGTTTTTGTGCGTGGGTACACTGGTATTATCTGCTTGTGTAACCCCATCTCCCTAAGTGCAGTTGCAGTACTACTCGAAATTGGAGAGGCTCTCTTACTTTAGGTTTTAAGCATAAGGGGAAGACATTTTTTTTTTGGTAAAATACTAAATGTAGACAACTTCCTCTGCCTGGGCGCTGCTCATAACTCAAGATCTAATCCTTACGGTCTGTCCTATCTTCCTCGCTCTCAAGCCGCCCTGTTTTACAAAGGAAGTGGCCATATCTGGGTAGCCCCCTCTTGAAAGAAACTTTTTGCTGGTTAGTTCAACAACCTCAACTGTTTCTAGCGTCCCCACAAAATTTAGGTTACTCCTGTCCAGCTTTTGCTTCCTCCTTAGAAGGGGGATTGCTTAACTTGGTGGTGCGAAGTATGAATCTGGTTCAACTTATTTGGGGATGCAGTGTCTCTACTTTTGGTCTTTTTTCTCTACACAAATGCATTCGACAAGGTTGTAGTTATGACTTGTGTGCGCTCTGAAGGACTAGCACTCAGTGGATGGATCTCGAGTCCTTGTCTATGTTTTTATCTGAAGATTAAGTTTCTTAAAGTCTTATTTGAGAGTAGGAGTGGAGGAGTCTCCAATCTAGTTTGCCATTTTTCAGCCGATTATATGAGATTTTCACCGTTAATGTCTGTGAATTCCTTTGCATGGTCTAAATTTTGCAGCTGTATGTTCCTGTCCGTCTATTTTATGTTATGAAATATTGTGCTTCATTTGTATTGGACTATGGTCCTATACTCGTTTAATAGCTCTATCTATTCTCTGTATTGAGCTAATTGACCTTATTTTGCAGTTGAGTAAAATTGATCAATGTTCCATCCACGTAGCCACCTCTCTCTCTCGTGGGAACCACAATTTTACGGTTATGAACTCAAATCAATGTACAACTTTTAGCATGCCTTTATGATTAACGCCATCAATTTGGTTTTTACAATGATATTTGTAACGGAATTCAATACTTGCTATTCCTTAATACTTGTTCCATTTTTTATTTATATTTGTCTAGAAATGATTATCTGTCAAAATTTTTGCTACTATATATATTTTTTAAATATTCCTACTTTGTAATATAAAATTAAATTGGATAGATTGTAATGCTGGATTAAAATGGATAGAATTTTTCCTCAAAACAAAAATAATATATATATTTTAGAAAAATAGTATTAAAAATACTGATATGATATCATGATTAATAAGGTTTTTTTTTTTAAAAAAAAAAATCAAAGAGACTACCAGTAACAGAGGAAGGGAGTAGTATTTTTATTATTATTATTTTTGAAGGAGAAGCGAAAGGGCTGGGGGTACAGCAGCAGGCCTGCCCCAGGAGGAAAGTATTAAGGATTGCTGGCGATAGAGAACAAAGCTTGTACATAATTTTAGCTTGAAAAAACAAGAGAATTTCTAGCAGCCCAAAATAGATTATTTATTTATTTATTATTATTATTTTTTAACCTGACTGACTAGTCCAGAGTACAGGGTTGGTTATCGCACACAGACCTTCCAAGTTCAACATATTTTTCAAAATTGCCACACCTGTGCACAAATATACTTTAATCTTGCTCGTCCACATCAGCTTCAGTGATCAGATTGTCAAAGCACTAAAAGAAGGTTTAATGTCATCCGAACTGATAAATGCCGTTAAAGCTGCTGGAGCTCATCCAAGTCAGGTCTTGTTGGATATTCAAATCCTCGAAGCACTGGCATGCATTCCAAATCCTCTTCTGAATAAGCAGGGATGAACCAGTACCTCTTATCCGTCCCAAATACCTGACATAGGAAACAATAACTCTACCATCATGATCAGCATTTTCACTCTGCTAGCACAGGTATTAAACTTAATCCTACATAACAATAGCATAACAATCATCGCAAACATGTTCCGGATCCCCAAAATTCTATTCCGGAGCAAACACAAAAGTTCCAGTTTCTCGATTCTGATCATAAGGTATGGAAAGCCAGTAACAGGGAAGCTTATAAACAATGTAAAGGCTGAGCCTAGAACCGTTCACATGCCAAAGTTCGAATCCCACGTTAGTGCAAGTGCCTGCAGCTTGGGAGATGTCCACGTCTGCCCTATTGCTATAAGCAGATATTAATTTAAACATTTTCCAAGTGAAAGGCGACCTCAATAAAAGAAGAAGAAACTGGGTAGGGATGAATGTCAACAAGTATGGGGACATGAACAAGAAAAACTTTGTGGGTGAGTAAAACTGAAACACAGAACTGAGTTTCGATTTATAATTTTATTTATAGAATCAATTATGTAGGAGAACAGAACTGATTATGGAAATGTGTAATGGGAACACAAAGGGTAGACCATAATACAATCCAAACCTCAATTTCAAGGAACAGTGTGGCCCTTGCAGGTCTGGAATTACTTCATGGAAGCTCAAAATCAGGTGTTAGCAACTTATGTAGGTCTTTTCTGCTCTACCCGCAGAAGTGCAGTGTTTTCATGATAAGATGAAACGGTTACAGTTGAAATGTAAATAAAATGATAAAGAAGCAAGCATGCATACACAGTGATTGGATAAAGATTCATGAAAGACCAAAAGCAACCTGTTCAAAGTTTTTCCTTCGACCAAGGTCATAACGCCATTTAGGATTGGTTTTCTTTTCAAATGCCTGAAAGTAAGAAAATGAACTTAATTGAGGCCCTAGCTAAAAGCCTTAGATAACATATGAGGGGGAAAATAAAAAAGCAAACATAGCAAAAGGCATCACCTCAATGGTGGTGGTATTGCCTAATACCAGTGATATGTGCATAATCAGGAAGCCCATAATACTCAATGCAAATGATAAGTTCAAAACTGAAATAATCAAACGATAACAATAAGAAAAAGGAAAAGGATACAGAAAAGAAATGAAAATGGACGCAACAGACAGTTTTCCGTCCAACTTACCAAATGTGATGAACGTCGCTACAAGGGTTCCCGGTGTCCCATTTATTTCACCATCAGTAAAAAATGCTATAAACAGCCGCAATAATGATAAAGTGACAAGAGTTGTCACAAGAAATGTGTAAAACTGCATAAGAAATAAGCAAAAAAAAATAGATTGGGAGTTCGTTGTAGAGAACATAAGATATGCTTGTAGCATAATACGATTAAAAAACAGAGGATGTAACAATATACTAGCAATCAATGCATGTCCACGCTCCACAAGAGAAAAAATAGAGGGGCTACAGGTGTGCCCCTCAATGGCACACTCCACAAGAGAAAAAATAGAGGGGTTACAGGTGTGCCCCTCAATGGCTAGCTGCACTAGTCGTCTATAGATGAATCTAAAGCATCATATCATGTTTTTTAGAGTACTTGCAAAATAATCTATGAAAGAATACTATCTCAAGTATACGTCTCGTAAAGCAGCAAAGGTATGAAATAAAATGAGTCTGGAATTAGCATAAGTTATATATGGAATGAAAAGTTATTTCCTGTTGGTGCTCAAAGTTGCAAGTCTTGCAAATGAAAGAACAAAATGAAAATAGAGAAGCTAGAGTTAACGGAATGGTGAGGAAATCATCCAATCAATGGTCAGAGAGAGAGAGAGAGAGCAAATCATACAATTTATTTAGGATGGCGAGGAAAGATGAAGCAGCAGCTTTTACATAGAAAGGAAAGTATAAAACTAAAAGACATAGCCATGTGATTTGGGACAAATAAGATCATTTATCCAGTATGTTTTAATACAGCTTTCAAGTGCAACGAACACCTTCTAGGTGCCATAAGAGTTTTACATTTATCTGTACAAGCTCCATCTTTATGCATGCCAATGATTAAAGTCTTTATAGTCGAGCAACCTTTCTCACAAACACTTTTGTGATGCTTTAGGATGTACAGGTAAGCTATGAAGATATAAACATACAATTGATACCATAAAAAGTGATTGTATCTTGTTGTAAGTGGAGTTAAAGGATTCAATGTGTCAAGACAATGTTATATGCATATAGAAAGTTGGTTTCAAACTAGTTAAACAATAAACTAGCTGACTACAATGATAAGTCCATTCATTTAAGATGAACAATACCCATTCCACTCTGGCATATGCATCAATATACCCATGTTTTTTATGATGGTTAACGTACCAAGAAAAGAAGGAAATACTTGTAGTTCAATGCCCCAACACAATTCACGACCCATACACAATGATGGTCCATTTTCAATATACACCTCCCGCCTGAAAAAATTAACAAATGAAGCTACATTTAATTACTCTTCTAGAAAAGAAATATATGTAAACCAAAAAAAGAAAAACTCACAAACAGAACAGTGATGGCAACGGTGAGGTTTAAACTGATTGCATTTTCGACAGACTCGCATTCTTGGATTAGCTGGCTCACCAAGCATAGCTGACTGATTTAAGCCTAAATCTGTACCTTCATGTGCTAATCCGACCAATGGATCAGCATCACCACTCTCCTCGTCTATTGATGGCCTCCAATTTGGTGGGACACCACCAGGATCAGTTAGAACAGTAGTAAAGTAGCTCCATAATAGCATCACCAACTACATAACCAAATCCCACTAATAGAAATTCAGAATGATAGAGTTCCTGTTACAGTTATAGGACAAACTCAATTTAATATAGAGCACCATTACTATGTTCACTGACTAAGTTCACCTCCATTATCCAACCCACTTAGAGTGGTGGCTGGCATCCTAAGTGCTTGGATGTTATCCAGCAAACTTGGAAGCCAGTGGCTCCCTGCCACATAACTCAGTGGATGATTAGGAATGCTCATCATTTTCCTTCCATATATTGTGCTATAAATGGGAGAGAAAGGCAACTTTCCAAAGTCCCACAACTCATTTTTTTCCCAAATAATCCAATCCATCTCCTAAAAACTTCAACATAAAAGGATCTATAAATAACAAAAAACAGTTCGAAATAGTAATACGCCAGTTGATGACCATTAGCAAACAGAAATTTGATAAAAGCGTTGAAGAGATGTTGAATTTAAAGTCAACCCAACCCAACTGTATGGAAACTCGACAAAATCAAGAAACCAACATAGAAATCCTTTGTTTGGTTGGTAAGAACCAGAGGAAATTGAGTACAAATATAACTTCTTTCAGCGAAACGAATCAACGTGAATTGCAGACAAGCTACCAAAATTGATTCTATAACAGGCAAAACCCAAATTGCATATAAACTAACATGACGATGTTATAAATGTATGTTTGTGGCCACTAAAAAGCCGTTTTTAGTTGGAGAGGCAAACGTTGCTAAAGAACATTAAAAAACCATAAGTAAATGTCAAACTAAGGAAACCCACTTTGAAATCCATGTAAAGAATTTCATTCATATAGAAGCAACTCTTAGCACTAGCTCAATCTATGCATTGGTTGCTTACAATTCAAAGCACGGTTGCCGTTTCTAATATTGGCCTAGAAATTCAACCTTTTTCACGCAATACAAATTAAAGCAACTAAAACATCAGCAGTGACAAATAAAAACATCAAACTTTCAAAACAGAGTGAAAGGAAAATAGAACTTACCAAAGAATGGAACAAAACCAAGACAATGAAAGCGACAAAAGAATCAAGGCCACCATGAATAAGAGCTGGACCATAATTAGCTACAACAATAACATAATATGTAACCCCTATTATGCCAAGGACTAATACTATCATGATAGAACCAAGAGCACGCAGTGCTGTACAAAACTTGAACACGTTCCATGCCATTACCGACTCTCCTGATTTCTGCATAATTTGTCTTCAATTGAACCTAAAATCAGACTTTGTTGATGAAATCATGGAGATGGAAAATGGGTTGTGGTTGAATTTTCTAGTCTTTTAAAATCCAGGTGAAGACTTGATTTTTTATTATTTTTTTGCGCAAAGACTAGGAATTTTTTGTTGTTGTCTGAACATAGTGTTCCGTTAGATGTTGAAGAAGGTGAGAAGAGCACATCTAAAGTGGACTATGGTCCATTATTCAATATGGGCTGCGTTTAAAAAATGAGTTTCAATTGGGCTTTAGTCTTAGCTTTGGTTCTAAACTTGTGTACCCTATAAATGCCCTACACTCCATGATTTGGATTTGCTAACGAATTGGGCTTTTCAAAATAAGTTATTGTGAATATTAAATAAGATAATTGAGATTCAGTTTTATCTAAAATAAATTTAAATTTTTGTGATGGATGGCTAACTTTTCTTATTTTTTAAGTGATTTGGATTTTAAAATTTTACTGGATCATTGAGTCTTTAATGTTGTATTAAATTATATAGTTGATGTTCTATTCTATCCAAAACAATGAAATTTTTATGATGGATATATTTTTTAAAAACTTTATATATTACACTATTATATATTTATTCGATATGAAATAGAATTTTTAATAGTAAACGTCTGCTCTTGAGTTTTGTTTGATATTGAATTTTAATTGGAGTGGGGATTTACAAAGGTAATTATTATAAGAATAATCATTAATTATGTTTTAAAAAAAAGTTTTAAAGGAGATTTAATGTGTTGGTAAAAAAGAAAAAAAAAAGAAGAGAAAATATTTTAAGTATTGGAATAATTACACTATAAGTATATCAATTTTTAATTTTTTTCAATCGAGTATAGTAAAACCTCCATCAATTAATATTGTTGGGACCATGAGATTTTATTATTTTATAGAGATATTAATTAACCGATAAATTAATACTTATTAATTTAAAGAGTGTTTTCGGAATTCAACGAAGTTGAATTTTGATTAGATGAATTTAAAGAGGTTACAAGCTGATTTATGTATCATATTTATTGAATTAATATAAAAAATAAATTCATTTTACTATTTATTATTAAGAAACAATGAATTGTACTTAATTATTAAGAAACAATGAACATTATTTATTTAAGAAACGATACAATGAATATTACTTAATAAGTTAAACTTCCATAAACAATGAACATTAGTAAAAATACAATGAATATTACTTAATAATTGAATTGTTGTTCATTGTTTCTTAATAATTAAATACAATTCATTGTATTTTTACTAAAAACATTCAATGTACAATGGTGATAGCATATACATATATCATAGACAAGATAAAAAACTTCTTGAAACCATATCCAACAATGGCTTCTCATCTAAAAGGTGTCACAAAAGCAACAATGACATATCAAATACGGAAAGCATTATGTGAGTACAAAAGAGATCATTCCATATGCACTCAAAAAGATCTCCAGTTGTGGCTCGATGAAAAGTTTCATTTAAAAGTTAGTCAAGGTACAATATCAAACACACTCAAACGATCAGTTGAGTATCTTTCGGCTAACTTAGAAAAAAGGAAAGGATATCAAGCGGTATAAACCAAGTAAAATTTTCGGATATGGAGAAGGTTATTTATGAGTTGTTTCTCCAAGTACAAAGACCATGTTAATATAATCGGAGGCTAGTTTTGGAGAAGGCAAGAGATACAATGAAACTTTTATACCCTCAACAAGATTCCGAGCACAACTTTTCTCAAGGTTGGCTTGAGAAATTCAAGCTAAGACATGGTCTCAAGTCATTTCGTCGCTTCGGAGAGAGTTGTTCGGTTGATATACGGGACATGGAGAAGAAATTGGAGTCCATAAGGGAAAAAATAGACCAGTTCCTTATGAAAGATGTTTTTAATATGGACGAAATTGGTTTGTTTTACGAGTTACAAGTCGATCATTCTCTTGCTACGAAGCAATTGAAGGAAGAAAACAGGACAAAGAAAGGCTCACGGTTGTTATTTGTTGCAATGAGGATGGCTCTAAAAAAATTCCTTTATGGATTATTGGAAAATATGCACAGCCACGTTGCTTCAAGAATGTTAACATGAACAACTTGAATTGTCACTATCGTGCAAACAAAAGAGCATGGATGGCAAGTGTGCTTTTTGATGAATATATTCGTTGGTTTGACAACAAAATGCATGGTAGAAGAATTTTGTTTGTGGTAGATAATTGTCCAAGCACATCCAAGAAATATTGAAGGGCTACAAAATGTTGAGTTGTTTTTCTTGCCACCCAACATGACATCAAAAATTCAACCTTGTGATGCTGGGATAATAAGAGCTTTCAAGATGCACTATTGCAGGAGATTCTACCGTAGGATATTAGAAGGCTATGAGTTGGGGCAATCCGATCCAGGAAAGATTAATGTTTTAGATGCTATCAATCTTGCAGTCTCGGCTTGGACAATAAATGTTCAACAAGAGATAATAGCAAATTGTTTTCGACACTCGCAAAATTCGTTCGGGGGATGAAGTCTCAAGGAATTTAGATGAACCCACTTGTGAAAATGACATTCATGAACTTGAGGTCATGATTAATGATCTTGGTTACCGCAATAAAATGGATGTTAATAGCCTGTTGGATTACCCGTGTGAAAATGATACATGTTCAAAGGTCCGGAGCTTAGAAGAAACTCGTGGATACCATCCTTCAAAATAATGTTGATGATGAAGTTGAAGAAGATACAATGCCTTTGGAACCAGCTTACGCGTAAGGAAGCACTTATCGCATTTAGGACTCTTCACAATTTTTTGGTGCAATTCGAGAACACAACGACCGGACTTTTGGATGCAATAAGAAAAATTAGAGATGAACTCCAACTAGATTTAAGTTTTAAGAAAAAAAAGACAACACTAGAATCATATTTCACTAAAGTGTCTTAGTTATATTTGTAATTTTAAAGAATTATTAATTTGTGATATTAATGGGACCATATATTTATATAGGGATTTTTTAAAAATATATTATCTTATTATCTTATAAAAATTGATGATTTTTTCAATTGGCCCAAGTTGGGACCGAAGAAAAATATTATTTTAGAGAGTTTATTAATTTACCGAGTATCAATTTAAAGAGGTTCTATTGTATATAGATTTTAATTTTTTTCATTTGAGTGCACTAATTTTTTCAAAACTTTCAATTAAGTATTTTCTTCAATTTTTTCGTTAAACAATAACATGTCCATTACTTCCAAAATACTAGATTATGATTTTGCCCTCTTTTTTTTTTTTTTTTTCAATTGAATACATAGACATTATTATTATTATTACTATTTGAGTAGATCGACTCTTTCAAAACTATTTTCATCAATTTTTCCGTTAATTGATCAAGTGTCAATTAACTCTAAACTACCAAATTAAAAATTTGCTCTTTTTTTGTTGGAGGCAACTTTCCCTTAAATTTATTATATCATTTCAAATTTTGATATAGAATTTAAAAACATTATTTTTTTTTACTATAAAATCTCAAATTAAACTCAATTAGGTTTAAGCATGAAAGTTGAAGAAAAACACAAACTTGAGATTTTTTTATCAATAAAATTCATTATTTGTGAGTATTTAAAAGGAAATTTTCCTTCAACAAAACAAGAATAAAATTACAATTTTGTATTCTAAGAATAACAAATATAACAGAGAAATTAACGAAAGTACTTAATTGACATTTTAAAAAAGTTACTATACTCAATTGAGAAAATGAGAAAAATTATAATTTGGTATTCCAAAAGTAACATACATGTTATAAGTCTACGAAAAAATTAACCAATGTACTTGATTAATTGTTTTAAAAAAAATAATGTGTTCAAACGAAAACAAAAGTTCATATATTGAATTGGAAAAAAAATTAAAATTTGGTATACTATCATGCAATTATCCGTTAAATTATTACTAGTAACGATGAGATTTGGATAGAAGAAATTATTTTTAAGTATTCTATGAGAGAAAGAGAGTGTGAGTGAAAATAAAAAATATTACTTAGAGAGTAAATATTTTTACCATTTGATTGAGCTTTGGAGGGTAAAATTTATGGTAAAAATTGAGGTTTATATGTAAAAAAAATAAATATTGAGGGTGTATTATTAGTATATCTAGCATTAATCTCTTTGCTCCTTGTATTAAGGATTATTATTTTAAGAGTTATTGCGATAAAAGCACATACATATCCTCGTTATTAAGTATTTTATGTCCCTAGCAGTTAAATTTATTTCATATGTTTTAAAAATCAAAATCAAAATCAATTTTTTTTACTAAATCAAATATGTTTGATTTTTAAAATAAATCCAAAACAATCCACAACAGATTGAAAAAAAAAAATACTATAAAATATTTGAATTATAAAAATGGGACACAAATTCCAAAAAAATTAGTGTATAAAATAATTGTTGAGTAGTATAACATAAGGGAAATTGGGTTAACGGTCCAGGCAGGTGGATTCTTTCCACAACCATGAGTCTATGATCCTCGTTGTCAGCTGTGCACTCCGTACAGAGAGATGCGGTGGCGCCTCTGGTTCCAATTCTTGTTTGATGGTGTGGTGTGTGTGTATATATATGAGTAAATTATAAATTAGTCTTTTTGGTTTTGAAAAATAAATAAATAAATTTTTTATTTTAAAAATAATTATTTATTTTTTTTGTATTTTAATTGCATAAATAACTTAGTTTTTTTTAATCAACTTTTCGTTAAATTAATGATTTTTTCTTTAAATTATCTTTTTTATGCTTTATATATTTTTTTCATCCACTTACTTTCTCTCCCCTCAATAAAAAAAACAATTTAAAAACAAAAATCAGTATTCTAATAAAACATTAATCAAAGAATTAAGTTATTGACAGAATTAAAATGTAATAAACTAAATAATTAGAGTTTTTTTTAAAAACTAATTAGTTAATTTTTTTCAAAACAAGACAGGCTAATTTATAATTTAGCCCCATACATCTAGGCTTACCCATCGT